TCTAGTGGGACTATCAATAAGCTGAGTTAAGTTCAAAGAATCACAAACCTGCTTAAACTGTGAAGATGTATCACTCAGCCAGTCCCAATTTAAATCACCCAATAATATGATTTCAGAAGAAAACGTAGACAACAATTCAGTAAGGCTAGTAGTTGCATCCATGATGGCCGATGGAGGCCTATAACAGCCAATAACCGTGAGAGGAGCATTTGCTATAGTTATTTGGACTGCTAGCAACTCAAATTGCCTTGGAATTGAAATTGAATGAAGGACAGAGCACTGTAGTTTCTCAGCAGTGTATAACATAGCAGTTGCAACACCACCAGCTCTGCCCTTACGATCCGTTCTGAATACATTATATCCATCAATGTGAATAACAGTGTCAGTGACAGATGGTTTATGTGCTAGTTATTAAGATATTTCTACATTTATTTTTACATTTTATACATGTAATTTCTTTATTTAAATAAGGTCACTATCTTTCCATATATAGCAGCGGCCTGACGAAGATTTGCTTAAAATTCAAAGATAGTGAACATAGTTTCTGATGTAAAATTATGCACAAGGACACATTTTTTATGTCCGGAAGTTTTTCCTTGTACGATGTGAGGGTCTAAGGACAGAGGGTGTCGTATTGTCATACTGATATTCTGTACAAACTGTGAAGTCCACTAAGACAAATGTAACATTTGTGATATTGGGCTATATAAATAAACATTGATTGATTGACAAGACATACAGTAGTATTTGTAGATACAGCTATAAATACACAGAGTCATAAAGATTCAATATAGTGTGACATAGATGATTTGGCAATCTCAAAGCCACTTAAAGGAATAAATGATGTAATTTTTCCTAAACATGGCCCCCCATTTACTTCAATTAATTAAAAAAATGTCATTCTTAGTTAACTGTCAAAGCATGCGAGGAAAAAGAAAAATGTTTCCTTCAGCAATTGGAAGTAACACAGGGTGAGTAATTTCGTTAAAGGACACCTATCATGCTATATTTGAACAATATATTGTAGGGCCATACTTAAATAAAGTATATAAATATAGTTTTTTTTCAAAATACCAAACAGATCCTGCATTTTAGCCATGCCTCATTTCGCTCTATTTGCTCTTTCCAGCCCAGGCTGATTCTGTGACCTAGCTTTAATGCAAATGAGCTGCAGCTGAACACGCCCCCCTGCAGGAGAGGGGAGCGTGCTCTGATCAGCTGCTGGGCTGTCAGAAGAGGGGGAGAAAAAGAGATCTCCATCCTCCGTGTTTTATTCTTATATGATTATATAGAGTCATTATTCATTTGTTTTAAAGCATAAGTAACAAAGAAGACCTTTGACCGGCACTTTTCTCATTTTGTCCAGAGGATTTAAACTTTAACGGACATGTTGACGGGTGAAAACTGAAACTGAAACTCTGCGCACGGTCCCCTTGTTCCTTGGAAGAGGCGGAGAGGTGGGTGTTTGTCATCTGCTGGTAGACTACCGGAGATAATTACAGTGCTTGCCTCGACGGGGAGGGATTGCATTGAATTACAGCAGCAGGAGGCGCAAACGCTTGCCTCGGGGAGGGAGAAAAAGAGCCACAGCGGAGAATAAACAGAAGGGCAACCATGGCAACCATGCGCGGGAAGTCTTCTTCTCTGCTTTTGTGGCAGACTACAGCGCCACTTACAGGCCTGGCATATGTACTACAGCGTCTCCAGCGCTTTCGAACGGCAATGGACGGCCGTGGCCCAACCCCCCATTCCCCTGATAGGTGGAGAGTTGGCCATATAGGCGGAGCTCCTCGTTCCTGAGGTCAGAGAATTTTCAAATCGGTATCAGTCTGTATCAGATCCGTTGCAGACCCGTTTTTAGAGATTTGGGTATGGAGGAAAAGAGAGGGTTGTGTTTTCTGACACTTGGTGAGTTCCCTAACACACCGGGGACACATATTCATGTATAAAAGATGTACAAGAGTGCATTTTGCATGATTGGTCCCCTATTCCATTAAGCGGAAAATAAAAATGATTATAAATGGCTTTATTTTATAAAATAAAAACAATGATTTTGTGTGAGAGCTCTGGATTGAACAGTAGCTACAGTAACAGATTGGTGTAGTCAGCACACAAAGGTCGAGTCTTGGCATATACAACATGGTAGCGCGGGGGACTAAACAGTGCACCCTTGTGTCGCTGCTCTTTCACTGCCCTTGCTGTGGCCACACACACACACACACACACACACACACACACACACACACACACACACACACACACACACACACACACACACACACACACACACACACACACACACACACACACACACACACACACACACACACACACACACACACACACACTACACGACACACACAACAACACACCAACACACACACACACACACACACACACACACACACACACACACACACACACACACACCAAGTTGAGAAACCGTCCGGCACAGTGGAATAAGTGACGCTCAGAAGTGTTTGGGAATGTTGAAGCTATAATCAGGACAAGGTTCTTTGTTCCTTCTTTGTTTCTTTCTTTTTCCTCCCTCCCTCCCTTTCTCCTCTTTGGAGAGTTGCCTAATGCAACAGCTGCCACGAGCTGTGTGGCTGAAGATGATTGGATTTATCCTGGAGAGAGTTCACTGTGGGCCAGGTGCTGCCATGGGAATCCTTCTCATGAGGAACATCTCCCTTTCACAAATCCTCATGTGGTCATCAGTCTGTGAACTGCAGGAGCCACTTCACTGCAGGACATGTCTTTCCTTCCAGGCACATTCAAAAGTGATACAAATGTTGTTTCTTTCTTCTGAGCGTTAGACTAAAATATCAATATCTCACATAATGTACCTATACAATGAATATGAAGCTATTGCTAGCAGCCACCTAACTTAGCTTATAGCACACAGACTGGAAACAGCAGAGCAGGCGGCCGGTTAGCATAGCCTAGCAACTCATACTACAAAACAATCCGTTTTTCAGATATTTATGTACAATGCTTTGGTTTATCACTTACATTTAAATTCAATACATGTGCAGAAACGTAGAAATATAAAAATGTTACACTAATAAATTAGTAACTGGAGCTGTCAACCAAATGAAGTGGAGCAGAAGTAAATTGCTAACAAAATACTCAAGTAAAGTAAGTAGGCTACTAGTACTTGTGGACAGCAAAAGTGCCTCAACAAGTCTGGAATCAAACACTAGAGGGAGATATTGCAGCAGGAGTTTCAGTCTCACTGATGCGTGAATTCATCCTATCATTCTGTAAAGACGGTTTAATGTACTGTGTCATGAATATTATAACAAATTACAATTGTTCACTAATGCTTGACATTGACCAATTGATAAATCAAGAAAATATTCGGTAGATTAATTGATAATAAAAGTAATTGGTAGCTGCTTCCCAAAGGGAAATGTTGAACTATAAGTGTTTCAATGTTATATGACAGATTAAAGAATCACTTTATGTCTTCCATAATGGACTCGCAGTAAAACCATCAGTAAGGCAAGTTTATTAATATAGCACCTTTCAACACAAGGCCATTCAAAGTGCTTTACAACAATGAAAGACATTAAGAAAATGGCATTTAAAAACAGTCATTCAAAAAAAGTCTTCAGCCTGGATTTAAAAGTAGTCAGAGTTGCAGTACAGCTTGCTACCCTTTTCCCTCAACCTATCCTAAGGGAGTCCATTTACGTAGACACGTTTAGCTGCTATAGGCTTAGACTGTCGGGGGACACCTTACTTCTTCCTTCTGTCTGTCTGTACCTGTGTACTCTCATGTTCCGAATAACCCAGCTTCCCCCAAATTTCTTTTTGGTGTCTATCTACGCCGGGATCCTGAGTCGTGGCTGATCCTGTTGCTGTGGTCCTGAGTCCTGAGTCCTGGATCCTGAGTCCTGCATCCTGAGTCCTGGATTTTGAGTCGTGGCTGAACCTATCAATGTGGTCCTGCCTGAACCTATCACTGTGGTCCTGCCTGACTCTCGTCATACTACTTCCCTGATGGCTCCCACAGGATTGCTGACATCCTCGTGGATTCATCTTCTTATTATAGCCACATGCATTTCCAAACATTTGGTCTACCTATGTTGTAAATGTATTATCTCTTCGATTTACACACGGCATCTATTGCACGTCTGTCCGTCCTGGGAGAGGGATCCTTCCTCTGTTGCTCTCCCTGAGGTTTCTCCCATTTTTCCCTTTAAACTGTGGGTTTTCTCTGGAAGTTTTTCCTTGTACGATGTGAGGGTCTAAGGACAGAGGGTGTCGTATTGTCATACTGATATTCTGTACAAACTGTGAAGTCCACTGAGACAAATGTAACATTTGTGATATTGGGCTATATAAATAAACATTGATTGATTGATTGATTGATTGATCCAGGGAAGTACTGCAGGGTTTCACAGCAGGTGTTGTTTTTCTATTAAATATTGCATTATATAAACTACAAATCATGGCATGTGGAATAAATACAATAATTAAACTTAATGCAGATTTTAAACCTTTGACCGACATGTTTTGATCATACAATGGTACATTTTAAGAATTGGGGAAGGAAAACGTTGCAATACACTTTAAAACGTTTATTTTACTTACTTTGTCTCATGTGTCGATTCATTTCTCCTTCATTTACTAATAGTTAACATTAGATAAAATAAAAAATATTTGTCTTAGTAATCTGGGGAAATGTCATGGTAATATTTATACCCGATTCATCTAAAGGAGTCTGTTATAATGTGTACAGTGTGCTGCATTAATATTGCAGTGAATTGAAGTCGCCTTGTTTTCAGCTTTTCCTCCTGCTGTTCAGTTAGTGTCGTGCTGCTCAGGTGATGTCATCCTCTTAACAGAGAGGTTTGTTTTACAATGCTTCACATCACTGCAGCTGCACCGAGGAAGCAGTTTACCAATCCTTCATTTGACCAAAACCTTAAATATGATGGACGATGGAGAGCCATAGTTTGTTTTTCACTTGACTTTTGAATGATTGAAAGATGGACTTCAGTCTGACTGCTGCCATTTACCTCCTGGTCATCACACGCTACATGGTAAGTTTTCAACTATCAAAAGGAAATATTGTACAAAATCTGCAACAGTTACTATAAACCGTTATTTATGTATTTGGGAAATGTCCCTAAATGATAGTTAGAACAACCGTGGGTTACAATGATGCAGGGGGATGAAAACATGTATACCATGAGATACTGTGCATAACGTTTTGTAGAATGTAATGAAAACTAAGGTGAGCATCAATTCAATTAACCCGCTTTTTTTTTGTGCCCATTTTTTTTCTTTTTTCTATCAGGCGATGTCAACTCATCCAGAGTGTTTAATTGTTCTTTATATACAAAATAAAGAAAATGAGTGTAAACTACAGATGAACACGGATGCTTCACTTCAGCCGAGTAATACAAGTGCAGGTAACTGATCCAGGGACACAAATAAATCAAGTTCAAAGCATAATAGAAAGATTTTCTCAGTGATTCTTTTGTATTTGAATGTTAAGGTTGTGTGACGGAGTGGGACGGAGTGAGTTGTTGGCCGTCTGCCTCTGAGGGACAGATGATCTCTGTCCACTGTCCTCTGCCCTTACTGAAGCCTGACACTCCTCCAGGTAAACGTTCTATATCACACACAGACACCATCAAGTCTGCAGAGTAACCTTTAAAAAGGGATTCTAACAAGAAAACATTTAAAAGACTGCGTCAATACTAGATGCAATAAAAAAAGTCAGTTAAAATGATGTTAAATGAATGAAACGTACATTTAAAGACACATTTTCGGCATAAATGCTACTATAATTAAAATAACAATTATTCACAATTTCTCTCTTATGTAGTCATTTGATTCAGTTACCTACATCTAATAGCATAACAACAATGCTTCATTTCTTTCCAAGGATTGTTTAGAAACTTTTTTTTCTATTTAAGACTTTAACATCCTAAAGTATCCTGAAACGTTTCCCTCACAGTTCTCATCACGAGGCAGTGTACAGACCGAGGATGGAGTGAGCCCAGCGTGCCGTATTATACAGCCTGTTACTATGAAGGTGAAGAGGAAGATGGAGACATGGGCAAAGAGGTACAGTGGAGAGAGGTCAGCATGCCTTATCAGACAAGCAGTCAGTGCCTCTGCATCACGTACAGCAAATGGGTTGTCTCTGTGTCCACTTAAAATCAATTCAAACACCATGACACAATTCCATCAGATTAATGATAAAAACCTAGAGGACATTATACAACATCTGAAATCCTTCTCCTGCTGCCTTGATATTATTCCAACAGGATTTTTCAAAGATATTTTGCCTTGCATGGCCTCAGATCTACTTCATATAGTAAACACATCTCTTCACTCAGGTATTTTTCCACAGGCCCTGAAAACTGCAGTCATTAAACCGCTCTTAAAAAAGAATAATCTAGATGCTTCAGTAATGAACAATTACAGGCCCATATCAAACCTCCCATTTCTAGGTAAAATCATTGAAAAAGTTGTTTTTCAACAGTTGAGTAATTTCTTGCATTTAAATAACTGTTTCGATGTGTTCCAGTCAGGCTTTCGTCCAAACCACAGCACTGAGACTGCTCTTGTAAAGGTCTTTAATGACATCCACTTAAACACAGACAGTGGCAGAACTTCAGTGTTAGTATTATTAGATCTCAGTGCTGCGTTTGACACTGTTGACCACAGCATATTACTAGACCGAATAGAAAACTGGGTGGGACTTTCGGAAACAGTTCTAAATTGGTTTGAATCCTACTTAAAGGACAGAAACAACTTTGTTTCTATAGGTAAATACACATCTGAGTTGACAAATATGACATGTGGGGTACCTCAAGGCTCCATCTTGGGGCCTCTTCTCTTTAACGTCTACATGCTACCACTGGCTCAGATAATGAAGAACAACAAAATAAGTTACCATAGCTATGCAGATGACACACAAATTTACGTAACAATTTCACCAGGAGACTATGCTCCAATTCAAACACTGAGTAAGTGCATTGAATAAATCAATGACTGGATGTGTCAGAACTTTCTCCAATTAAACAAAGATAAAACTGAGGTAATGGTTTTTGGAGACTAGGCAGAACATTTAAAAGTTAGCGCTGAGCTTCAGTCTGCAATGTTCAAAACAACAGATAAAGCCAGAAATCTAGGTGTAGTCATGGACTCTGACCTGAGTTTCAACAGTCACATTAAAACAGTTACTAAATCAGCCTACTATCACCTAAAGAATATATCTAGGATTAAAAGACTAATCTCACAGCAGGATTTGGAAAAACTTGTCCATGCTTTTATCTTCAGTAGACTCGACTACTGCAATGGTGTCTTTTCAGGTCTCACAAAAAAATCTATTAGAAAGCTGCAGCTAATTCAGAACGCCGCTGCTCGAGTCCTCACTAACACTAAGAAAGTGGATCACATCACTCCTGTTCTGAAGTCTTTACACTGGCTTCCTGTGTGTCAAAGAATAGATTTCAAAATACTGCTGCTGGTTTATAAAGCACTGAATGGTTTAGGCCCAAAATACATTTCTGACCTACTGCTAAATTATGAACCATCCAGATCTCTCAGGTCTTCTGAGGCGTGTCAGCTTTCTGTCCCCAGAGTCAGAACTAAACATGGTAAAGCAGCGTTCAGTTATTCATTTTTATGCTCCAAATATCTGGAACAAACTCCCAGAAACCTGCAGGTCCGCTGCAACTCTTACTACTTTTAAATCCAGGCTGAAGACTTTTCTTTTTGTCGCTGCTTTTAATTGAAATATTCATATCTTAGACTGCACTGTAACTTTTATCCATGTATTTTTTCTTTTAATGTTTATTTTATTAGCTTTTCTTTTTAATGACTGTTTTTAAATGCCATTTTCTTAATGTCTTTCATTTTTTGTAAAGCACTTTGAATTGCCTTGTGTTGAAAAGTGCTATATAAATAAACTTGCCTTGCCTTATGATCTGATTCAAATCCCTTTTGCCAGCAGGGAACCAGAGATTCAGTTCTTTAAGTCTCTGATTAATCAATATTTCATATTTCCCTCCAGAAAAACTACTTTGATACCCTGAGGTTGATCTACAGTGTCGGATACGGAGCGTCTCTGGCTGCTTGAATGAGGGTGTTTTATTTATGAAGAGTATTTTTTTCGTTATCGGCAAATTTGTCTTTGTGTCCTACATTTTGTAGTCATCTATAGAAGATGATTATTGGTCAATCTGCCAATTGTTGTGTTTTTTGAGAAATTCCAAATGTCCATGAGCCATGTGCAATGCCAAATTATTTTGTATGGCGCAAAAAACCCCTCCTATTTCAAAAGTTTTAATCTGAAAATGTTTTGCATGTTTGCCCTTTTTTTAATAATAATAATAATGGGTTCCATTTATAAAGCACTTCATATTTGATTTCAAATCCCAAAGTGCTACAAGTAGTGAGCATGAACAGTATAAATAAACATTACACAACACGGTAGAATTAATAAAAAGCAATAAAAAAATAAAAATAAATAAAAGGGTGATAAAAAGGTCTAGGCAAAGGCTCTTTTGAAGAGATGGGTTTTGAGGCCTTTTTTAAAAGCCTCCACGGTCTGTGGTGCTCTCATTTGGTCGGGGAGAGTATTCCACAGACTGGGAGCAGCCGAGCAGAAGGCCCGGTCTCCCATAGTACGGAGCTTAGTCCTGGGGGGTTTGAGGAAGTTGGAGTTGCTGGAGCGGGTGGTCCGCAAGGAGGTATGGGGGGTGAGGAGTTCCTTGAGGTAGGGAGGGGCAGTTCCATGGACACATTGGTGGGTGAGGACGGAGACCTTGAATTCGATCCTCAGTTCCACGGGTAGCCAGTGTAGTGCTTTAAGGATGGGGGTGATGTGATCATATTTGCGCACCCTCATCAGGATCCTAGCAGCACTGTTCTGAATGTATTGGAGCTTCTGGATGCTTTTGTTAGGGATCCCGATGAGGAGTGCATTGCAGTAGTCCAGCCTGGAGGAGACAAAGGCATGGACCAGCTTTTCGGTGTCAGACAGATTGAGTGTGGGGCGGAGTTTGGCGATGTTCCTGAGGTGATAAAAGGAGTTCTTGCACAGCTGTTTAATGTGGGCCTCAAAGGTCAGATGGGCGTCCATTTTAACACCCAGGTTGGTGACTATTTATTCAGTAAATGACTGAAACAATAAGAATCATACAATTTGCCAAGTAGGTTTTTAAATAAAAAACAGTTGACAAATAACAAAGTAAGAGAGCAAGTACTGCAAACGCCTCCAAACATTCATATAAAATAGAGTACTTGACAATAGAAATATTATAAGGGTGCTAGAAATGAAAATGTGCAAAAGCTCACAGTGTAAAGTACGTAATGTATAAAGTATAATTTGCAATGTAAAGAGATCATTGTGAAAAAGATATGCATTAGTAACCAATTGAGATTTGAAGTGTATGTCACATTTTGTGAACGGGAGAAAAGTCTATCTCGTAATAGATTCTAATCCTTTTTTTGTCGATTGACTGATTGAAGTTGAGTTTGCATTTAAACGGGCCTACTCTAAAACAATTAGATCATTGTTCATTACCATATTGCACTTAAAACCGACCTTGATGTACAAAATATAAAAAAATACTTTCGTGCTTTAAAAGGTCTCATGCTAAATGCAAAATACACTTTTTGATGTCCTTTATATATGTGTTCCTGAAAATACAACCCTCTCTCTTTTCCCCCACACAACCCGTGAGAGAGAAAGCATTTGAGCTCATACTGTTTCAGAAAAAATCCTTGATGTGCTTTGGAACATAATATGGCGTTTAATCATGACAGCATTTGGCTGAGTATCTGGGTAGAATTCTCCTGCATGAGCTCTCGTCTCGGCTTTCCTTTATTTATTTTATTAATCTACGGACCCAGAATCAGCATTTCTTTAAGAGGGCTGAAATAGAGGGGTATGAGATATGGCTAGAATGGGTGATCTGTTTGGTATTTTGAGCAAAACACTTTATAGACATGTTTTTTTATATATCTGAGACCTATGGTATATGCCTACAAATAGTATAATAGGAGACCTTTAACACTTTTATGCTACAACAGAAGATTTATACGATACAATAATACTTTATTGTTCAGATCAAGTCTGAAATTTGACTTGCATCACAGCAGCTCCATGTGTAACATCAACATAGACAAATGTCAAGACACAATACATGAAAAACAAACAACAAACATTTAACATAACAGCACTATCACTTACCTCATTCACACCAACGGTGTTTCGAGGCCGGTTCGGAGGTGGAGTTTGAAAAGAACCGGGTTTTCCTCTTCACACCGCAGCCTCTTAGCTCCGGAATCCGGTTCGTTTCAAGCACCAAAAAATTGTCCGGCCAGAGCAAAAGCACCACATACGTCACGCTTACGTCGAGGCGGGGGCAGGGGCAGGGGCAGGGGCAGGGGCGGGATCAACTCCTGAACAACAACAAGAAGCCCGCGTTTTATCCAGCTTGTACACAACGATGGAGAAACTTAACAAGCAGCAGTGGTCCACTGAAGAGACCAGCGACCTACTGGGAATCTGGTCTTCCGAAGAGGTACAGAGGAAGCTGGAGCACAATCGGCCATTGTTGTTGTTGTCGGTGTCAGCTGTGAGGGGTTTCCGCGCGGTTTGGCTTTATGAAGCAGGCACGCAAACGGTTACGTCATGACGCAAACGATGACCGGGTATATTGGGTACAGTACAGTACAGCTCAAAACATACAATTATTAAGGGGATGCAGACCAGAGAAATACTTTCGTCTTGTTTACATCAGGGTCCTCCATTTCCAATTCATCATGTCATTTAAGACATATAAGACATATTTGACATACAGATGGCTTATTTACAATTTACATACAGGTTTTTTTACATACAGATTACTTGTTTACAATTTTCATTTTAGATTTCGTTCTAATACATCCTAACCGGACATTTAAGACATACCAAGTCTACAGATATACAGTTAGTAACAGAGTCTAAAATGCGAGTATATACATAGATGGGGGGGGGGGAAGCTGTCCATTGAACGACAGGTTGAGATTTGTACCATTACCGGGGCCAGTTTTGCAATGCTCTCCCCCGAAGGTGCTCTTTAAGAGAGGTTTTGAAGGTAAGTATAGTTTTACTTTCCTTTACAGTTGTGGGAAGAGCGTTCCACCTTGATGTGGCATAATTGCGAAACGTGTATTCCCCCTTTTTTGTGCCAAATCTGGGTTTCACATGATTTGTGGAGCTCCCTCTGGTGTTATGATGATCATGGTATTCCTTGACCTTTGGGAAGAATTTTGACATGTACATGGGTACCATAGAGGTGTAGTGGATCTTGTAGACCAAGCCCATTGCAAGTAGCTGTACTCTGTCGTCTACTCTAAGCCATCCTAGGTTGTCAAAGTGGGCAGAGGTGAGGTGGGTTCTAGATGAAAGGTCAAGCAGTAGTCTGACCAGTTTATTTTGCGATGTTTGAAGTTTTATTTTTAGCGCCTTGGAGGTGCTATGGTACCATGACGTGCAAGCATAGTCATAGTACCCTTTAATGAGTGCTCCTGCCAGAGTTTTCAGGGTGTTTTTGTTTACCAGAGAGGAGATCCGGTATAGGAATCTAGTTCTTTGATTGACTTTTTTTATTACATTGGATGCCATTTTGTCACAGGAGAGGTTTGCCTCAAGAATAGATCCTAGGTATGTAATTTCCTTCTTACTTGTGACAATAATGTCGCCCACTGCAACTGAGAAGTCGTCGGATTTGCTGAGATTATGTTTCGAACCGAAGAGAATGGACTCTGTTTTACCCAGGTGTAATGATAATTTATTATCGGCGAGCCAGGTGCAGATTCTGCCGAGCTCGGAGCTGAGGGTTTTTTCAACCTGCAACCTGTTCCTGTCAGAGACCAGCAGGGCTGAGTCGTCCGCGAACAGGAACAAGTTGCAGTCACATGCTGATGACATGTCATTTACATAAATTAGGAACAGTAACGGACCTAATATGCTTCCTTGTGGAACACCACAGCTCACTGGGAGGGGGGGGGGACAGAGTACCGTTTACCTCCACCATCTGTTCTCTCCCCTCCAGGTAGGATTGCATCCAGCTCACCGATAGTTTATCAAAACCAATGGCTTTTAGCTTGTCAATCAGAATGGCGTGATTGACAGTGTCGAAAGCCTTTTGTAGGTCCAGCATCACCATGCCGCAGTACTTGCCCTCGTCCACCTCTTGTTTGATGTGGTCGCTCAAATAAAGAAGGCATGTGTCAGTGGAGTGGGATGTTCTAAAGCCAGATTGAAATTCATAGATTAGTTTCTTTTCCGCGAGGTACTTTTCGACCTGTTCATATACTATTTTTTCCATGACTTTCGAGATGGAGGTAAGTATAGAAACAGGGCGGTAGTTGCCTGGGTCCAATTTGCTGCCCTTTTTGTGCAGGGGGGTTACTCTTGCAATTTTGAAGTCTTTGGGTACTTTTCCCTGTTTTATGGAGAGGTTAATTATGTGAGCTATGACTGGTGAGATGGCGGTTGCTGAGTCTCTGAGGAATTTGGAGGGGATATTGTCGTGGCCAGTGGCCTTGTTAGGTTGGAAGGCGCTCAGTTTAATGAGTACCTCTGCTGTTGTTACCCTTGCTAGACTGAAATCATCTTTGCGTACCCCTAGGTTTTTGTAGTAGGTCATGATGTGATCTACTCCAAAAAGCCCCGAGTGGGAGGGTAATTTATTTACAAGAGTTGTGGCTATGTTTGTGAAAAAAATGTTCAAGTACTTGGCCACATCCAGTTTGTCTGTGATGAGCCTGTTATCTGTCTTTATGTTTAAGTTAGAAAATCTCGTTTTGAGTTTTTTACTGCAGCCAAGCTGGTTATTGAGTAATTTCCAAAGTTCACGGGGTTTATTTTTGTTTTCCTCAGTTTTGACATTGATGAAATTCTTTTTGGCAGTTTTGATCATGGAGCTTACGTCATTTCTTAGTCTGTTTCTTTCAATTTTGAGTTCAGTCACGTGGGCCTGGAGTTCACTGCTCGTGCTTTTGGAAAGCATTGACTGACTTTTATGAAACTCAGAGCATTTTTTTGTCTCTGGTTTTCATGGCGGTCAGTATGCCGGAGTGCATCCACGGCTCAGCGCGATTTTTTACCCTGGTTGTTCTTAGGGGGGCCAAATCATTGAGTATTGCAGAGAATTTGTTTTTGAAACCAAGCCATGTTTCTTCAACTTGTGTACCACTGAGCTCTGGTGGGGTGGTGGGAGGGAGGCTCCGTTGTAGCTTTAGCCGTTGATATGCTAGCAGGGTGGCTAACAACATGGCGGATATTTGTTCCCTCGGATCTCGGTTCTCTTCCTCTCGTCACTGCCTCATGCGTGTTTGTCTGCCGAGGCGTCCCCGGGGGAATCTCGAAGTCTCCGTTTATTCCTTGGTCTCCGCTGTCTCCACGGTCTCTGTTGTCGTCGCGTAGTTGTTGTTGCAGCGGAAGAGATGCTAGTTCTGATGCTAATTGAGATGCTAGCTCATCGAGCCTGCAGGACTGGCTTCTTGTCTGCACCGGGCCCGGATTCAGATGGATGTCTCCCGCTAACAATAAGACCAAGACGATCATACTTCTTCGGTCTAGTTTGCCTGACGGGGGTAAGTACTTTCGCGTCGGGTTTGCAGTTAATAATGCATGAATGCTTGCACTTCCAAAAGCGAGGTGTTTCCTTTCCCAGCCGTTGAGAAGGTAAAAATCATTGTGGTTCATTTTATCCCCGCTTTCATTACTCTCCTTCTCTAAGTGGTGTTGCCTCATTGATGAGTTGAGGTAGGAGTCCATAATCCATATTGTCAGGAGGATGAAATATGTAAAAAATCGTGAGGAATAACCGCCAAAGCGGGAGCTCTCGAAAATGCGACCACTCATAGTGAAACCGGATGTTGAACCGGTTCTGAACCTGAAAAGCTCTAGCACGGTTCTTGAACCGGAGTTGCGTTGGTGTGAATGAGGTAACTGAGAGAAAACATGCTCAAAGTGCCTTCAACGTGCATTTGATCTGGGATCAGCTCTGTATTTACTGTGAGGATTGACTAATGCACAAAGGAGTGCTTCAGTGTGACTTTATTGCATCGTGGGACCCTGTATCTCCCATAGCAGTAGCAGTTCATATTCGCTGTTCAGAACATGGTTTGGGTCCGAGATGATGTTGTTGGACAGCCTCACTAGGTTATTATGGTATGCTGAAACATAAAGTCTCTGACAGGGTTGAGCAACAATCTTTGAGAAGATTTTTAACAGATACATTACATTAATGTAAGGCACAACTTTTGGAAGAATGATAAATGCTTTGTTTTTAAACTGTTCTGTAATGTTAAACCCTTTATCTCTCCTCAGCTCTGGTGCAAAGCGGCTGTGACGTTCTTCCATTTCTGTGTTCTGTGTAACTTCTGCTGGCTGCTGGTAGAGGGTCTGTACCTGCAGAGCCTGCTGCTCTTCACCTTCTCTCACACCACCAAGCTCTTCAGGGTCTACGCTGTCATCGGCTGGGGTTTGCAGTATTTAGATTTATACTGACTGTATTAATGTTTATCCACCTGTATTGCTGTTTAAGGATCTGATTTTATAGGTACTCCCTCGGTGACTCTTGTAATCTGGGCCCTGCTGAAGAATCAGCTTGATGATGAGGGGTCAGTATTGTGCAAATATCTCTCAGATTTTCATATCATTATTTGATGTTAATGGAGGGTCATTTCTGTATGTGCAGGTGTTGGGATAACCTGGAGAGCCGCTTGTGGTGGATTATCAAGATTCCAATCCTGCTCTCCATCTTTGTAAGCACATGTTCAGCACATATATCTCCAGCAAGAACTACATTCTGGGATTGATTTTGAACATTTCCGCTTTTAACGGTTTCATTTTCGCTCCGTTAAAAGCGGAAATGTTCAAAATCCCCAGAGGAAGCTTTCTTGCTTTCTTTTTTAAAGGGATAGCTCAATATTTTGGGGAAATAAGGCTATATACTTTAATCCCAAGAGTTACACGAAAAGATTGATACCACCTGTGGTGAAAGAAGCACTCTCTTTTATTTTGCAGAATAAGTAGCAATACTATAACGGCCCCTACACACGGCGGCGTGCGTTGCCGCTTCAACGCTTCTGCCCATTCACTTTGAATGGGGTGACGTCACGCCTCGCCGAACTGCATTGTGGGAGCAAAGCGTAGCTTTTCTCGCGGTGCTCGCTGTAACGGCCCGTCCACACTACAGCGTCGACAGCTTCAATCTGCCCATTCACTTTGAATGGGGTGACGTCACGTTGCCTCGCTTTTTCGCCGAACTGAATTGTGGGTAGCATAGCGGTCCGTCTCCGGCGTCTCCGGCGTCAGAAGTTGAATGTTCAACTTCTGACGCCGGAGACGCCGGAGTTAGGGTTGCCAACTTCCAGAAATGAAAAAACGGGACACAGGCATGTGTCCCCCGCTCGCGTGCCCGGGAAGATTTTCGGGTTTCTGGCGGATTTAGTTACTTTTTTTTTGTTACTTTATTTCGGTTTTAGGGTTAGGGCTATGTTATTTAATTCTTTTGGGGGAGCCAGCCCCCTAGGGTTCGAGGGGTCAAACCCCCCCAAAACCCTCAAAATGCATAGAAAACTATGCATACCTATAACACAATACAAACACAATGGTCTTACACCTGCATTAGGCTACTACATCACATTGTACATCAGCATGTTCAAATCGGATAGGTGGGCACTAGGGACATCTGGGCACCTCGATGTACAATTGGCTATTTTGTCCAAAATGTTAAAAAATAAATATTTGAAAAATGGTATTAAGTAATGCAAAGTTTACATGATGTGAACATGCACGGTACATCATTATTAGACTTAATGTTATCCTTCAACCAACCATTTTCCCAGCATTTTCCCATCAATCAGCTGCTGACTCTCTCACTCACACACACACACACACACACACACACACACACACACACACACACACACACACACACACACACACACACACACACACACACACACACACACACACACACACACACACACACACACACACACACACACACACACACACACACACACACACAGAAGACCCGAGACAGATCTCCACTCACGGGGGCTTTACCCAACTGTGTTTTTCTTCCACTGTTTGCTGTAAGACACAAGTCTTTTCTTTTTAGAAGGGCCCATAACCACATCCTCTCTCTCTTCTCCTCTTTCATCATCACCTCCTCCACCAGCAGCGCTCATTTTCCCACACGACTGAACAGGCTGACATGCCACACAAACAATGATGCCGCGCCCGCGGCCCACCGGAGAAAATCTCACACACACACGTGCCAGCATTGTGCCTGCCCTGTCAACTGAGCGGTCCTAGTGCCCTTCGCATACAGCACACAAACACACAGGCACGCAGCCAGACACACTGCATTGCGCGCAAACAGAAACATATTTTTTATTTTTCCCTTTACACGGGAATCCGGGACAAACAAAGTCTGTTAGAAATTAAAATCAACGTTTTGATGGCATAATGTACCTTAAATGTACCTTCAGTTTAAATGCTGTTTTATACTGAAAAACCAGAAAATTATTGTGCACAACCAGTTAAGCTTTTATTCTGAAAATCCTTCATCTCCGGTTAGCATGTGGCTAGTTTACCATTTCTTATAGAGGTTTATTTAGTAGCGAAATGACATGGAGTGATGCACACCGAAACCTACTGATTTTAACACTGCAACTATAGACGTATTATTATTGCTGAATATTAAATGAAGGTATAGTTTATTTGAATAAAGTTATTGTTTACAGACGTGGGTAAGATGTGACAACATCCGGAATGACCAGAAACCAAACCAGCCGTGAAGTATTTTCTGTATTTTTTAGAATATTAACTACAACGTTTAGAATGTGTTAAAGGAAAAGTGATGAAAGACAATATGAGGAGAAGAGGCGTGTTTAAGTATGTATTGAATGTACAATGCCTGAATCCTCTGTTTAAACGTAACAACGGACATTAAGATGTGGAGGGCCGGCCCGCAGGGAGGAGCCTGCAGAAGCTATATAACAGCAGCACCTGAGCGGTTCGGCCTCTTTTCTCTGCTAGAGAGGGCCAGAGACAGCTGCTTTTCTGTCGGACAATATCCTGTTTGTGACTTTACCACGCTTTTTATTAATTAAAGTACCAATTTGAAAACATCTCAGAGACTCCATTTAGTCTCCTTTTTAAGCTTCTCTTTCCTGGACGCGAGAATAACCATCACAGTTAACAAGTCCCGTACGGGACACGCCCCTTTTGGCTCAAATACGGGACGTCCCGGCTAATACGGGACGGTTGGCAACCCTAGCCGGAGTTGCCAGCGCCAGCCAATCAAATCCCGTTTCGGAAAATCTGACACCTCAAGCCGTAGCCAATCTTAGTGTATGAATATGCTAAGATATATAAAGTATGAAAACGGTAAGCAGTGCAAATATAGTATAAAATATATAGATATTAATTTCATGATGATAAACATTGTGGAACAATGATGAAAAATGGGAATGGATGTGGCGACGTAAAACTGACACAAAACAACAACAAACTTTTGCCGAGCCAATTGGAGAGTTTCATCAGCAGCACGTGGTAAAAACCACCAATGAGCGCTCAGCTCGAGATACCAGCGAGTCGTTTCCCATCAAGCATTTCGCTTCCGCAGCCCGTGGAGAGGAACTGCGCCGCTTCGCCGCGCCGCGCCTCGCTCTCGGCTGCGGGCGTCTAAGCTGGGAGAGATATCCCGCCGTTCATTTCTATATTTCAAAAAAAGATGGAGGAGAAACTAATTATCGCCGTAGCGAATCACCCGGTTTTGTATGACCAGACCTTCTTCACCTACCCGGATACAAACCGGAGGAACCAGGCATGGAGGGAGGTGGCAGAGACAGTGGGTGAAACTGGTAGGTTTTCGCCTGTTTGGGGAGTTTATATATATATTGCTCCCATAAAATCCCCGGGGGTTTTTGCTTTGTATGTCGGGGGCGGGAGATTCATGTGATTGGTTGTTGGTCGCGGTGCTTGAATAAAATCCCCAAGCTGCAGACACGCCCAGCTCCAAGCTTTTTTTGAAGCTGTAGTGTGGACGCTCCGTAAAACGTTCTACTTTTGACGCTTCGACGGAAGCGTCAGCCAATCGAATCATATGCCAGTACAAGCTCTAGCCAATCAAACCGCTGCTTGTGTGTCCGGGGCGGGAGATTCAGGTGATTGGTTGTTGGTCTAGCTTCAGACATGCCCACCGGCAAGCGACAATGCACACCGCCGTGTGTAGGGGCCGTAAGGTAAACATATTAGGCTTGTTTGAGACAAGCGAGACCTGCGCAGTTGGGATCAACGTCTTGCTAGTGCGTTGCATGATGGTTAGTCATTTTGTCCGACTTGCTCTGGAGGCTCGCCTACATGAGACGTTGAAATCTCGCGGGACAAAGACGCCCGCAGCCTTGAGAGCGAGGCGCGGCGCGGCGAGGCTGCGCAGTTCCTCTCCACGGGCTGCGGAAGCGAAATGCTTGATGGGAAACGACTCGCTGGTATCTCGAGCTGAGCGCTCATTGGTGGTTTTTACCACGTGCTGCTGATGAAACTCTCCAATTGGCTCGGCAAAAGTTTGTTGTTGTTTTGTGTCAGTTTTACGTCGCCACATCCATTCCCATTTTTCATCATTGTTCCACAATGTTTATCATCATGAAATTAATATCTATATATTTTATACTATATTTGCACTGCTTACCGTTTTCATACTTTATATATCTTAGCATATTCATACACACTGTTCATACTGCTCTCAGGCTGATATCTAGTGTATTCATATCCCTCACTGTTTATTCATCATTCAATTCATTCTATATTTTATTCTGTCTATTGTGTACATTACTTTTCACTTTACTGCTTGTTGCACCTGGTTAGAAGCTAAACTGTATTTCGTTGTCTCAGTACCTGTAATATGTGCAATAACAATAAAGTTGAATCTAATCTTGAGCAGGAACAAATGTATTTACTTAGTACATATCTGACATTAACGATTAAACTCATGTGTGCATTCTTTATAAATGCAAACCGAGTCAAGCCGACTCCGGAGGTGGCGGTATGCACCTTAAAGTTGTTTGCAATCCGCCAAAAAACAGAGAGAAGAAGATGAAGATGCCGACTCGGAGCTGTCCGACTTCAGGCGAGCTTTTTGAGACCACGATCGGCTATTCTCGTTTACTTTCGAGGTGAGCCGCAACGCGTCTCAAACAAGCCTATTCTGTCCTTACTTAGGAATACATTCAAACATCTGAGCATTAAGGAAACTCAAAGTACCAAAAGTATTAATTATGCAGAATTATCAAAACTAATATGCCCATTCCAGAATAATATAGACTAAAATGTTATGAATGAGTTGATGTGTTCATTCACTTTCACACTGCTGGAACATTTTCTTAATATGCTGCCCAGTTACTTAACCTATAAACACATCATATCAATTAGTTTGTAGATTGTATAATTCATCGCAATCTGCAAGATTCTAAAGCTAAATGAAGTGAAGAAAAAGTCTAATATTTCCCTCTAAAATGTACAGTTATTTTTTGTTACAATCGACCCATGCATACCACATTTATATAGCAGTGTTTCCCCTACATACAAATAGCGGCGGTGCAGCTGTTATTTGTATATAGGTAGGGATGTAACGATATACCGAATATCGCGATAACTAAACGTCCCAATACTGTCGTGAGATTGACAAAATCTTCCGCGATTTAAAAAAAAAAAATCATCCCAGCTTCTACCTGGAAATGTGGACATGCTCATATTCCTAAAAACCTGTCTGATAATGCTGAGTGAGTGACTTAGTGAGTTTGAGTTGAGTTACTTGGAAAACTAAAGTGAAACTAGATTTATTTTATTGCGGGGTCTGATTATTAAATGTCCTTGTTTATTTGTGAGGTGCAGTGGCACAAAGAAAATGCCTACTTTGTTTGGAAGTACTAGTAGGTACAAAAACACTGGTTTTCTTGTTCCAGTCTGTTACGGAGGTGATCTTTGGGGCCATAGATCTCGGCCTCCGTTACGAATTGTGTAGTTTTGTTGGTGACGAAGTGTAGGTAGTTGTGCATCTGTATGTGTTTTAGTTTGTCTGTCTCTGTTTGCTGGTTTTATGTTGAAAAGTGTTCCCCTTCCCCCATGTCTGTTGCTGTTGATTGTGTGCACCTGCGCCCTGTGTTGTCTCCTCCCCCCCCCCCCCCACCTGTGTCTAATTGCTGATTAGTGTGTGTGTGTGTGTATTTAGGCTCTGTTGCCCTGTCTGTTTTCGGGCAGGTGGTGTGGTGTGAGATCCCTGTGGTTGGTGACGGTGTGAGATCCCTGTGGTTGGTGACGGTGTGAGATCCCTGTGGTTGGAGACGGTGTGAGATCCCTGTGGTTGGAGACGCTGTGCACATATTCGGCAGGATTGAGGCTGTGAATCATTGTGTCTGATTTAATAAATGCCCACACCATCAATTGTCAGCTTCACAATTGGTGTAGGAAGTGGGATTGACCAAGTGAGGAGGGAAAAATGCAGAGAGGAAAGAAGAGCGACCAAAGAGAGGAGCCAGATGACGGTGTGGCTATGCCTGGAGCTGACCAGGGGGCCACGGCTGGTAAACCAGGGGACAGGATTGACCAACTGAAGGAGATGATGAAGTCAGTCATGCAATATCAGAAGTAGGAGGAGTGCCGTTTGAGAAACATGGAGGAGCAGGTATCCATGATAAAAGAGGAACAGAGACTCCGGAGGCAAGACGGCAGAGCAGTGCAGTGCAGTGCAGCGCAGTGCAGCACGGAGGAGAAGGAGGAGCGCGATAGGGAGCTCATCCATATGAAGCAGCAGATAGCCTTTCTGATGCAACTGCAGCGGTCCCGGGCGGATCCCGCTCAGCTAGAGGCCGCAGTCCCGGCTCTCTAAGAAGAAACTGGCAGAGGAGAAGGAAATTAAAGACAAGGAAGATGCTCTTCTGGCTGAGGAGGAGCGGGTGCAAATGGCCGAGAAGGTCCGTCAGGAGAGAGAGCGCGTCAGACAGCAGGAGCACATGGAGAGGAAGAATCAGATCCCGAAGAGAAAGAAAGGGAAGCTTCTTTCTGACTTCACGCCCCCCCCTGAGGAAACAATGCTGCACAAGGGGAAGCAGAAACCTTGTAGGGAAGCCAGGATTTCCAGGACACTGTGCTTCCAGGGGAGAGGGGTGAGGAAATGTAACGCTACGAATTGTGTATTGTTGGTGGCGAAATGTAGCCTATGTAGTGTGTGCATCTGTATGTGTTTTAGTTTGTCTGTCTCTGTTTGCTGGTTTTATGTTGAAAAGTGTTCCCCTTCCCCCATGTCTGTTTGTGTGCACCTGGTGTGCACCTGGTGCCCTGTGTTGTCCCCCCCACCTGTGTCTAATTGCTGATTAGTGTGTGTCTTTAGGCTCTGTTTCCCTGTCTGTTTTGGGGGCTGGTAGTGTGGTGTGAGATCCCTGTGGTTGGTGACGGTGTGCACATATTCATTCATTCATTTTTTATTGTTTGTTATGTGGAGTTGTAGTCTTTGTGTTACTGTGTGTTCAATAAAGGTGTATTTTTGCTAAATCTTGAGACATTGTCACTGTATGTTCTAGGCAGGGCCGATTTTTGGCATAGATCTGGGGGGGGGCTGCGCTGGTAGCTCTGGGAGGGGAGAACATTTTTTTGACTGTTGGCGCTCATCCTAATTTTCAGCCTTGATGTAACAATATTCTTAATTAAGTAAATGTAGCCTAACACCCTTTTTACCCCGGTTACACTTCATTTGCCCTGTACGATGTTGGCTTATCAGGCGCTCACAGCCAAAGTGCGAGGGAGAGAGGGCACACCGGTACCGGCGCTGTTGTTATTAGAATCTGGTGCTAGCTGCGCTAACGGATATAAGAAGTAGATGTTTCTACAACCAGGGTGGAGGAGAGCTCTCCTGTCAGACTGAGAGGCTCAGTGAGGTAAAGGACTCTTTGAGTGTTTAGATAGTTAATTTTTAAATTATCTCAGTGGGTCTAAAACGTTTTGACAAATTATGTAAACACATATTTCCAAGGCACTCCTTTATAATTATTAGGATAAATAAAAACAGGTTTGAAATCATTCCAATGTATAGGACAGTAAACCAAAAATATCGTTTAAAGTTGGAGATACAAAAATATGCATAAAAATAAATGTTAACTGGTAAAATAAACAAAAATAAGCTACATTTATTTGTCATTGGCTATGGTATATTGGTCATGTTCACACTTATTTGATTATTAAAATGTAAACCGATCTTTTTCATATGGGTGTTTTAGAGTTGTACCCCCTAGATCAGGTCTCTAGTAATTGTGTGCTCAAAGTGTACCAGATTGAAGCATTTTCAAATTCAAACATGTTCGTATAATACTGAATACATTTGAAGCCATTTTGACGTATATTAACCATGTCAATAAGTTTCTGTTTTTGTAGTGATTTTTCATTTATTCTTTATAAAATCTCGCCTAGGGCAGCAAATTGGCTAGAACCGGCCCTGGTACTAGGCCTCAAGAGCCTTTCTTGTGCTGGCAGACACATAGAAACAAATTGGCGGGGCACACTTCGCACGTGCACACACTAAAAAATGATATGCGCTTCATTATGCTGGGCCCACGTGCCTTAGCACCGCTGCTATGACTCCATCCTAGGGAAACACTGTATACAGTATGTCTAATAAGTATGTTACAAAATTAAACAGACAACAAACATGTACAGTTAAAAAAAAAAACTAAATTAATAACGAGTGAGCTTTTGAGATTGATTGTTATATTTGGACATGATGCTAGCTGTTTCCCCCTTTTTCCTGTCTTTATGCTAAGCTAAGTGACTGGCTGCTAGCTGTAGCTTCATATTTATAGTAGGTTACCTGAAAGTGGGAACAATAATCTCATCAAACTCTCGGCCAAAAGTTTCACCCATACCTTTAATCAAATGTGTTGATTTGTCAGACTGATTTTTTTTAATGGACATATTGTTTTTCATGGATAAATTATTCCTACAGAAGACATTCAATATTAAACAAATGCCCATCAAATTGGTACATGTCTCATCATTTTAAAGAATGTAATCCAAAACAAATTGTACATTAAATGGTGTTCAAGATGTTGTCTTCAGTAATTGTAATGTTATTTAAATGCCTGTTTCCTTGTTTCTTGTCTAACATTGTAATTCATGGTCAACAATGCGCTTTAGCTGCTGTAATGAAGAATCATCTCAGACTTGAAATGAGGAAAGAGCAATATTGCATTGTGTATTGAGTCTGCAGTAACTGTGATAAAATACTCAACAGGTAAACCTTGGGATCTTCCTGAACATCAGCAGGATCATCGTTCAGAAGACAAAGGCCACACATGTGAACCAAAGTGACACCCGGCTGTACAGGTAACTCTCATCTCTCCTCTGTCAGTGTGTAAAGTGTCCTCTGATGTCCTCAGTCAGTGTGTAAAGTGTCCTCTGCTGTCCTCAGTCAGTGTGTAAACTGTCCTCTGTCAGTGTGTAAAGTGTCCTCTGCTGTCCTCAGTCAGTGTGTAAACTGTCCTCAGTCAGTGTGTAAACTGTCCTCTGTCAGTGTGTAAAGTGTCCTCTGCTGTCCTCTGTCAGTGTGTAAACTGTCCTCTGTCAGTGTGTAAAGTGTCCTCTGATGTCCTCAGTCATTGTGTAAAGTGTCCTCTGCTGTTCTCTGTCAGTGTGTAAAGTGTCCTCTGCTGTCCTCAGTCATTGTGTAAAGTGTCCTCTGTTGTCCTCTGTCAGTGTGTAAAGTGTCCTCTGCTGTCCTCAGTCAGTGTGTAAAGTGTCCTCTGCTGTCCTCAGTCAGTGTGTAAAGTGTCCTCTGTCAGTGTGTAAAGTGTCCTCTGCTGTCCTCTGTCAGTGTGTAAAGTGTCCTCTGCTGTCCTCAGTCATTGTGTAAAGTGTCCTCTGTTGTCCTCAGTCAGTGTGTAAAGTGTCCTCTGCTGTCCTCTGTCATTGTGTAAAGTGTCCTCTGTTGTCCTCAGTCAGTGTGTAAAGTGTCCTCTGCTGTCCTCAGTCATTGTGTAAAGTGTCCTCTGTTGTCCTCTGTCATTGTGTAAAGTGTCCTCTGCTGTCCTCAGTCATTGTGTAAAGTGTCCTCTGTTGTCCTCTGTCAGTGTGTAAAGTGTCCTCTGTCAGTGTGTAAAGTGTCCTCTGCTGTCCTCTGTCAGTGTGTAAAGTGTCCTCTGCTGTCCTCAGTCATTGTGTAAAGTGTCCTCTGTTGTCCTCTGTCATTGTGTAAAGTGTCCTCTGTTGTCCTCTGTCAGTGTGTAAAGTGTCCTCTGTCAGTGTGTAAAGTGTCCTCTGCTGTCCTCTGTCAGTGTGTAAAGTGTCCTCTGCTGTCCTCTGTCAGTGTGTAAAGTGTCCTCTGCTGTCCTCAGTCATTGTGTAAAGTGTCCTCTGCTGTCCTCTGTCATTGTGTAAAGTGTCCTCTGTTGTCCTCTGTCAGTGTGTAAAGTGTCCTCTGCTGTCCTCAGTCATTGTGTAAAGTGTCCTCTGTTGTCCTCTGTCAGTGTGTAAAGTGTCCTCTGCTGTCCTCTGTCATTGTGTAAAGTGTCCTCTGCTGTCCTCAGTCATTGTGTAAAGTGTCCTCTGTTGTCCTCTGTCAGTGTGTAAAGTGTCCTCTGCTGTCCTCAGTCAGTGTGTAAAGTGTCCTCTGTCAGTGTGTAAAGTGTCCTCTGCTGTCCTCAGTCAGTGTGTAAAGTGTCCTCTGCTGTCCTCAGTCAGTGTGTAAAGTGTCCTCAGTCAGTGTGTAAAGTGTCCTCTGCTGTCCTCAGTCAGTGTGTAAAGTGTCCTCTGCTGTCCTCTGTCAGTGTGTAAAGTGTCCTCTGCTGTCCTCTGTCAGTGTGTAAAGTGTCCTCTGCTGTCCTCAGTCAGTGTGTAAAGTGTCCTCTGCTGTCCTCTGTCAGTGTGTAAAGTGTCCTCTGCTGTCCTCTGTCAGTGTGTAAAGTGTCCTCTGCTGTCCTCTGTCAGTGTGTAAAGTGTCCTCTGCTGTCCTCAGTCAGTGTGTAAAGTGTCCTCTGCTGTCCTCTGTCAGTGTATAAAGTGTCCTCTGCTGTCCTCAGCAGGACGCTGCTGCGCTCCACCCTGCTGCTCATCCCTCTGTTCGGGGTTCACTACGTGGTGTTTGCTCTGATCCCAGAACATCTGGGCGTGGGGCCTCGACTCTACTTTGAGTTACTTTTAGGCTCCTTCCAGGTAACAGATCTATTATATAAATCTATTCAACAATACTGTATATGTGGACTATTGGTAAAAGACATTTGGGCTGCAACTAATGATCCTTTTTGTTGCCTGAATTTTTTTTCTGATTATTGTTTTGATTAAAGTTTGGTCTAAAAAAGACAATGTATTTGGTAATCTTTTTCTGAAAAAAAAAGTCATTGTTTTGTCCAACTAGAGGCCCCTATTAGCTGTCATATCAACAGCAACTAACACATGTTAACATTTGGTATGAATTCATACATGCAATTACATCACTTTCCTCACTTTTGTTTCCTGTTACTCCAGGGTTTTATTGTTGCTCTGCTGTACTGCTATCTAAATGGAGAGGTAAGATACGTTTGTATACAACTAAAATCTCAACTACTGTACAACTCAATCAGTGTCAGAATGAACAGCATTAACAACATCCTTTTTTATCTTTCAGGTCCAAAAAGAAATCCAGAGGACACTGAGAAGATGGTGGCCTAAGACAGAAACTAACGCCATCAATCTTCCAACACAAGAATATGTCCCCTGAAGTAAAAATATATTGTACGTTGTTTGGTGCTTATTAGTTCTCCATTTTTGAAAAAGTCTCTTTGCTATCCAACCACATAAACCATTTCATGGGCGTCGCAGCCATTACATGAGGGTGGGACAAGTCCCCCCACCTTTTAAAATGATTAGTTTAGACGCCTCCATTTTTACCATGTGGAAAGTCCGTGAATCGGTCTATCCATTCTCTGGAGAGCGCTGTGTCAGTGCTTCATTATCAAACCCATTCCACTTGCTTATTGTGAGAATGCCCAAATCAATGAAATCCCGTACCATGTTTTCACTGCTACTTTGTACCAAGGCAGATTCTCAGAGCTGTACACATGAGCTGTACACATGCTGCGTTTTTTGCGTAGCTGCAGGGGCGGCGGGTGCTGATTAGTCAAATATGCATGAATAACAAATAAAAAAGTTAACTAGGTGAAAAAAGGTAAGATACACTTTTAAAACTTGTTGAGAGAAAACTAGTCTTTGCTGCTGCCTCAAAGAGGAGCAGGGAGGAGAGGAGGGAGACAGGAGAGGCTGATTCAGGAGCCCAGACACACACAACTATAAATGAACCAAAAATAAATAAATAAACAAGTTTCAGTGTTTTTTCATATTGGATATGGGATGTTATTGGTTATGGCCATGATTTTATGATTATTGAAATGTATACAGTTCTGTTTCATATAGGTGTTCCCATAGATCTAATCTCTTTATTTTCCCCTCAAAATGCACCAGATTGATGCATTTAACTCCAAAATTAAAAAATAAATCTTACCAGGGGAGCATGCCCCCGGACCCCCCTAGACAATTTGAGGCCCACCCCCACTTCGAATCACATGGATAGGTTCCTAAATACATTTACAAATACATTTACCATATAGTAAATAGTAACCCATGTCCATATGTTTATTTGTGGGTAGTAGATTTAAACTATAGGGCTATCACTATGGGCCCTGCCTGGAGCTGTTCTGCCATTGTGTGAAGGGTCTGCTAACAAGCGACCAACAGAAAGGTTAATGTTAATGTTGTTGCATTACCCGCTACCACCACCCCCAAGTATATTTCAGATCTGTGGGAAACACTGTCCTCTTAAAATAATCAGGGCATTTGCATCAGGCTGACATCTAGTGGTCAACAGGCACATTACAGCGGAGCCCTCACAGCACAAGCGCACCTCACAAACTTGAACAGCGCCAGAGCATGATTAGCTCAAAGTGTATATTTAATAAAAAGAGTGTGCACAATTTAATAAAATGACTGCCACTATTTATGAAACCCAACTGTAACAGTTTTCGAAATGTCGAAGTTTATCAAAATGTAGAAACGCATAAACATCATTGATGGAATGTAACTATATTTACTGAACTTAACTCGAGTATTTGCATTTTTGCTACGCTCTACTTCAAATCAACTACAACTCATACTCAAATAGTGTAATAGTGTACTAAACTACATATATTTGACAGTTATAATTATGCTTATGTTACTTTACTTTGTTCAGTCAGATGATCAATACGAAATACAAAAAAACGTGTAAATGCTGATGCATCAAAGGAGTATAAGTAGTTTAAAAGGGACTTGCCCTTTGCCGCAACATTATAGTGATGAATACATTAATGCATCAATAATTATAATCCAGTAATATGATGTATTTCATTCTAAAATAGGCTACTCTGCATGAGGATTATTTGTGGTACTTTGTATTGGATACTTTCGTACTTTTATACTCTAAACATGTTTGAATGGCTATTTGTACCCTGTGCTATTACTTGGTGTCAACAGAACAGAAAGAGGTCATGCAGTCGTAACGAAGCACTTGGAATGTTTCAATGTCTTGGGAAATGTTTGTTTCGGTTCTGATTAGATTTTAGTTTTCAAAGCAGAAGACAAAAACAGGGGTAAACTAGATTGATCTTACTACAAGAAACTGGCCAATGTTGGCAACTATCTTCCAATGAAAGTAGCTGGACAGCCTTTCCCTTCAGGACACTCAACAATTATCATTATGAATGTAAACATATCATCATTGTAAGGGAAACTTCTGTGTTTATCTAATGTTGAATATAGAATATCAATTTCTTTAAATTATACTTCTCTAATTTGAGGATCAAATATGCTACATAATTGTTATATGAAATATTATAAATATTTGTTTTGGGCCAAAACTGAAATGAATCCAGTACTTGAAACATCATTGTAGGTCTTTCTGTGCATGGATAATACATTAAAGAGTAGTGTTGTTAAGCCTGATTGCTGGACGATTAAGGATATTAACATTATCTGTGGTAATAGTAGAAATATCTTATTATTCAATACTTTATAATCTGAAAATATTAATTAATTAATTTTGTTTAGTGCGAAAGTGTAATCTGATCCGGCAAAAATATATGAATCACCACTATTCAACACATGTCTGGTCATTGGAAATATAAAAACAGTCATTAATTGTACATCTGTAAACATCCAAGATATAAAATCAATTCAAAGTTCATCTTCGTACGAGAGCTGGAAGAACGTGTCCTTCAGTCTTTCTGACTCGTTCTCCTCCTCTCTTTATGACAAAGAGTGTCTGGTGTGTGTAAAGGCATCCTGATACTGTAGATTAGCACTGAGGTGCTGATTGGCTCAAAACTCTTCTTCGTCGGAGCGCCATATTTCAACCCCCCAATTGCTCTGCTTTTGTTCGCTCGTTCAGTGAGCACTGTATGATCCCCCCCCCAGTGAAATGGAGGCTCATCTGCCTGCATTCCTTCTGCTATCTGCTTGACAGCAGTGCCACTGCGTATTCCAAGTGGCGCATCCAGGTGTCCCCCCGTGATGGGAGAGGTAAGGAAGACATCTGCTCCTCCAAGAAACATGGAACCTTGTAGCCTCTGAAACCCTGGCTCGTCCTGCAGGGTTGTCTGCCTGAGCCCATCAAGCAGAAAGGTGAAGAAGCATCCCATCTCCTCAGATAGTTGAAGATTAGAATCCTCTCATCTCGAACGACCTCGTGCCTCCTTGCCCGTGGATGGGGGTGCCCTCTGCAGCCGGAGAGTGTGACCCTCTCTCTCTGACCCTTGGCTTTCAGAGCTGTCCTAGTTATTGGGTTAACACTTGATAGGGATGTTTTCCTGAGTGAAGACAACTCAAGGTAATGGATTAGCACATTATCATTTAATTACAAAAATAGGATAGGCCCCTCAGAATTATTTGGGAGCCTTCCTAACACATGCACATGTAAGGTTTGTGTTAGTCATTTAACATGCAAGAATCATATACTCATCAGTCCAAAGCAGAGAAATGTTATTGTAATTTAAAGGCGAGCTAGTCCCTGTGGATATCACCCCTTCTCAATGATTCTAAATGTTATATTAATTCACCATTTGATAAAATATTAGTTTATCAGAAATATATATTTGTCCTCTTCCATAAAACAGGTTTGAGTAATAAATTACCCAATATAAAATCAATTACTCAATATAATTGACTCTTCCCTGCCGACAACGCCAATTTGTAAGGGAAACTTCTGTGTAGCAATGCAGTGGGAGTCACCGACTCAGGAAAGAGACACGGTAGAGCAGGAACTTCGATGTCAAACACTGATGATTTATTTGGAGTTACGGCCGGAGAGATTCACATCACAAGTCACAGCAGTCACGGTGAGACTGCACGGGTGGGTTGCCACGTCAATTCTGGAGCGCCTCTCTCTTGTTAGCCCATTTAAATGAAGCTTAGCGCAAGTTCAATGAGGAAGACCAATACCCCCTGGTGTTACACGTCACTTCAATCTCCTCTTCCATTAAGTAATCAGGGGCGTTACTCCCCAGCTAGCCAATCCTCGCACCTGCTAACCCCTTTAAATCTGCTCTTCCCTCTCTGTCAGTTGTCATTTCAGGTGTCAACGCACAACCCTCCTCCACCTCCTGTCTCCTAATTCAGGGCCAAGCTAATCCTTCTTCCTTCAGACCAGACCGAACCACTTATCACCACCACCAGTGTCTAGACCCCGGGGGGGTTCATCGGAGCGGTTTTCCCCTCCCGAATGATCATCCTACAAACCGGGACCTAATCTCCAAACATCAGTTAATTCATTGTTGTAATCTGTCAATCATCATTTTCTTATACCATGTGTCCCGGTAATAAACATGTATTTCATACATCACGTCTCTCCTGATTGAACTGGTTTCACAGAGAGTAATCAACATATTTCGATAAGATAGCTTAAACAGTTGGGCACACTGAGTCACTTGCGTCCGTCACTTATGGCCTCGAAGATGTCATACCTTGGAGTCCACAAACAACATAGAAGGAAGTGTCCCAGTGCCCCCACAACAACAGACCATCTGTGACCTAGTGTTGCCCGGTCACAGAATGGGAACAATAACATTATGGCTGAAGCAGCCTATGTCCTTAAAGGAGATAAACAGACGTCAGGGTTGGTCCTGTACGTCATATCTAGGAGTCTAGGTCAATAATTTCCCTAACAATCATGAAAGTAAACACAACAATAATGGATTTTGTAAGTACTATTATACTATACTAAGTACTACTATACAATTATTTAAAAAAGATATATGACATGCCCTAGCTTTAAAAAGTCCTTCAAAGTTACACAACAGAGTGTTTTTGTATTTATCAAAAACCCACATTACGATCCATTTGTTTCCAGATATAAGTGCATAATGTATGAATATATGCTTTGCATTATTTCAATAATTCAGTTGGAAAAGAGTAAAAATACTAAATTACAAGTAAAATTCCAGTGTTTATTGTGTATCTTGATGTAAGTAAGTTGTATCAGAAGTACTCCCTATATGCAGATTGGTAACTGTAAGTGCTATCATTTATAATATTGGCAGCAAATATCAAAACAATAACTAAATATATCCGTCGTAAACTAAACCAGAAACAGCAGTATATTTTATTTTGTTAACACTGTAAATTTGACAGCTTTTGAACCCAAACCACCTACTGGTTAAAGCACGTTATTACACGTTTAGAGCAGCGCTGGTTTAGAGTAATGCAATGCAGGTAGATTGTGTTGCTTTTTAATG